GTAATATGAGACTTCTTTTGAGTTTTGACACATTCATATACCAAGAAGAAATAACAAAGAAGCAAGAAAGACAGTCTGGATGCGCCCTAGGCACCTTTCTTGCTGAGCCAATTCTGAGGTTATCCTTAAGCATACGTCTCATCTCATTTTTTGTTCTCAGTTTCTTTTTGCTTTTCTTCAATTTTAGAATTTATTTTACTTCAATTAATTGATTTAAAATCTAAATTTTATATTATATTTATTTAAAATAACTAATATAAAGTTAAACATGTGGTGTGTTTAGGATATTATTACTTTCAATGATTATATTCCTAAGTAAAACAAAATAATATTTTGCTGTTGCCGCACAAAATAGTTGTCGGTAATTTTAAATAAAAGCCGTAGTACAAATAAAATTCAAATATTAAATAAGTGTATGGAGCCCAAAAAGGCTTTCCTTAAAAAAACAAAAAGAATGCATAAGAAATATTAAAATAGCTACAGCCCGTGAGCTTAAAATAAATTCAAAGTTGATCTTGTGAACATTTTAATAAAATGGACTGATTGAGTTTATATATATAATATTATTTTTAATTGAATGATCACATTCTTTTGAATCATGACTCGCTGGTTTTTTTTTTTGGTCTGGTGTCTGATCCAGTTGTTAGAACATTGGCAGGGTAATTCTATAATTATAAATTGTAAATGTGATTTGTAACTGTACCTTGATATTTTTAATTCAGTTTCCCATTCATTATTTTAAATATTTAGCTTACCAAACTAAGTTATCCTTTTCTTAGTATTTAGTTATAATAAACTTTAGTATCAATCAGTTAACAAACGTAATATTTTGTTAATAAAAAAAAAGAAGAAGGAGAAAAAGAAACGCATGTGTACAAAGGAGAAAGCATAGCCGTCAACATGCTATTATCTATTTAAATTTAACTGTTAAATTATATAATTTGACTAATGTTTTTAATGGTTAAATTTAATGATGGATAACGGCTTAAGACAGAAATACTACGAAATAAACTTTCTAAAGAATATAAGAGCAAAAAAAAAAAAAAATTCTTCTAGGTGTTAAATGCTCCTTCGTGGATATGTCCATGATATATAAGCACTTTATCCCTACAAAACATAAAATAATTACTCTTGCTAAAAAAATAGGAAAGATTTTAAAACAACACCCCAAAAATTTAGAAAACCCAAATCAGCGACTCAGATTTGATAAATGCTAGAATAGAATCTAACGAGATGTGTAAAGGCGGCAACGGCCCAAAAAAAAAATTACTTTCTCTGTCTTAAAATAATTGTACCTCTTTATTGTTTCCCATCCATAACTTCTTGTTATACATAACTTTTTTCAAAAATTCATATATCCAAATCAAACTGTATGAATAAAAATTTTTTATTTCTTGATTGATTGTAAAAATGCAAAATTACTTTTTAATTTTTCAAAGTTTTAATAAGGATAAATTTAAAAAAGTTTATCAATTTAATCCATTCCTTATTATGTGTGAACGAATTACAGTGACTTATAATAAGGTCAATAAATATAATAAAATCCCCAAATAAGATATTAAAAAACTACTCTGTGTTAATATAGGGAGTTGTCACACTCACCTTCATGAATTGTGGTATCTATTTGTCGAAATTCAGAGTAATATATCTGGTTTTAGTAAATTATATTTATAATATGGATAAATTAATTAATAAATCTACTCAAAAGTGTATATTTTGTTTTAAGAAATATGATGAATAGTTACAATTGGCAAAAATGTTTGCCCTTTGAACCAATTTTTCAAAATAAACAATGCAAGTATGACGTAGGCAGCAGTGACGTCAACACGTTGAGTGTGTCGGTCTTGTGTGCGTGTACAAATTAAATCATGACTTTTGTCAACATTCATATGTCAAAATCAAACGGCATAAATGAAAATTTTCTTGTTTTTGTTGAAGCGCAAACTCACTCCAAATACAACAAGCCCAATAACACAGCCTCAAAACCCAATCATTCATAATTCTTCCTGATTCATTTATTCTAGGGCTACGTGTCCTGTTATCCTTTTAACTTTTTCACTGCTTGTATCACGGAACACTTATATAAATATGTAGCACTGTAGCGTCTTTATTCATGAAGATGAATTCAAGGTTTCCTTTAATGCTCTTTCTGCATTTATTTTCGATGATGATTTCCCTGCCTTTTACTGTTATTATGGTATCAGAGTGGGCAAAAATTCATCACCACATATAGCACAAAATATCTCTTCCGGTTCTGCGTAGTTTTTAACCATGAGCATTAATTCAGCTAGATCTGTATCTTCTTTATCTCCTTCTTTACCTTCATCCCCTGCCCATTTTATTTCCATAAAATTAACAAATGAAAACTACACTATATGGCGAGCCCAGATGATTCCATATCTTCATGGGCAGCAATTATTTTCTCTTATTGAAGGTACCTATCCTCAACCTTCAGCTAAGCTTTCTGATGGAGCTCTAAACCCTGAATATTCTAAGTGGTTTCACCAAGATCAACTAGCACTTTCTGTTTTAATTTCTTCCTTGTCTGAATCTATGATTGGTCAAGTTATCAGAAACAAGACAGCCAAAATAATATGGCTTGCTCCTGAACGACTCTTTGCACAAAAATCTCAAGCAAGACTCCTACATCTACATAATCAGCTCACATCTTTAAAAAAGGGATCAGAATCAATTTCTAATTATTTTAAAAAGGCAACGTTGATTTCTAATGCTTTGAACAGTGCTGGTGATCCTGTTTCTAAAGCTAAATTTGTCAATTGCCTGTTGAATGGTCTTGGATCTGATTTTGAATCTATAGTTGCCTCTCTCACCACTCATGTTGCGAGCTTAACTCCTGAAGATGTCCTCAGTTATCTATTAATTCATGAGGCTAGAATTATAGAATACACCTCCCCTGCAACCCCTGATTTATCTGCTAATATGACAGTAACACAAAATCAATTTCATAGAGGTGGTGGCTCCCAGTTTTATCGTGGTCGAGGATGAGGGGGCCATTTTACTAGAGGCTGAGGATGATTTAATTCTTATAGAGGAGGAGGATGATTTGGACACAGAAACTATAACTATGCCAATTTCATACCTCATTCAAGCTCCAATCAGACTAATGACTCAATTTGCCAAGTATGCCAGAAACCTGGTCATACCGCACTTACCTGTGCAAATAGGTGCAATCTTGCTTATTAGGCCCCTCCACCACGATCACTTGTTGAAGCTCATCACTTAGCCGTTTTGAACATTCCTAAGAATACCTAGTATCTTGATATAGGAGCAACAAATCACATGACCTCTGATTTTTCTCGGCTCAACCTAAACATAGCACCATACAAAGGAAATGAGCAAGTTCATATCAATGATGGCTCTCCCTTACCTATTGCTCATTATGGATCAGGCACTTTTTATACACCTAATGGAGATTTTCTCTTATCTGATTTATTATATGTTCCCTCTATTTCCAAAAATTTACTCTCTGTCTCTCATTTTTGTCATGATAATTCTGTTTTCTTTGAATTTTACTCTACTCATTTTGTCATGAAGGATCTCAAAACCAAGCAAATTCTTCTGCAAGGCCTAGCTAAATATCAACTCTACCCTTCTCGCATCTCATCTCCAACAGCCTCTTTTGGAGTCAAAGCAACAATTGATCAGTGGCATGCTCGATTGGGACATCCAGCTTATCGCACAGTTCACCATGTCTTATCTAAATATGGTCTACCAAAATTTTCCAGTTCTTCCACTTCTTGTTCTGCTTGTAACAAATCAAAAAGTCATGTATTGCCCCATCCCCCTACTCACCATCATTCTCCCCATCCCCTGTTTCTTGTATTTAGTGATGTATGGGGCCCTGCCCCAGTTTTATCCATTTTTGGCTATTGATATTATGTTTCCTCTGTTGATGATTTCACTAAATTCACTTGGTTTTATCTCTTAAACTTAAATCAGATGTGCTTCACGCCCTTATTACCTTTCAAAAGCAAGTTCAAAATTTATTTGATACCACCATAAAATTTCTGCAAACCGATGGTGGTGGTGAATTTCAAAGCCTTCATAAACATCTTCAATCATTGGGTATCATTCATCGCATTTCGTGTCCCTACTCTCATGAACAAAATGGTTCTGTTGAAAGGAAACATAGGCATATTGTTGAATCTGGTTTAGCTTTACTTCAAACGCTTCTTTACCTCCCAAATTCTGGACTCATGCTTTCTCCTCTGCTATATATCTTGTTAATCGTCTCCCATCTGTCTCTCTTAATTACAAATCTCCTTTTTAGCTTCTTTTTAATTATAATTCTGATTATTCCTTTCTCAAAATTTTTGGATGTGCTTGTTGGCCCAACCTTCGACCGTATGCTCGCAATAAGCTAGATGCTCGATCGACTCTTTGTATTTTTATTGGTTATGCTACATAATGTCATGGTTATCTCTGCTTTGAACCTAAAAGTAGCCGTGTCTTCATCTCTAGAGATGTTGTGTTTCATGAGAGTATTTTTCCTGCCATTACCCACTTTGCCAAACCCAAGCCCAACATTCCTTCTTCCTCAGCCCAAATAATTTCATTACCCTCTCTTCGCCACTCTCAGCCCAATTTTACAGGCCCAGTTACTTCTACTCCTTCACCGCCCCAACCCTGAGCTTAAAACCCATCTTCTTTGGATTCCTACCCACTTCCCAACCCGATAGACCTTCATCTCTTCCTGCTCTGCCTGCTTCGTCCTCCTCTGACACATCTTCGTCCCTATCACCTCTTTCTTCTCTGCCTGAATCGTCCTCCATGTCTACCACCTCTGCTCCCTCTCTCTCATCTCCAACAGTGCCTGATCATTGCCATCGAATGGTCACGAGAGCTCAAACCAAATCCCTCAAACCGAAGACATGTCATGATGGTACTATTTGCTGGCCTCTACCTAGAGCTCTGCAAACTACTGTTGACGGGATTCCCGAAGCGCCGACCTCTGTTTCTGTTGCTCTCAAATATCCATAATGGCATCAAGCAATGGAGGTGGAACTCACTGCCCTTCCACAAAATCTGACATGGACTTTAATTCCTCTTTCATCTCCCTCTCCCAATATTATCAGCTGCAAATGGGTATTTTGGACCAAGTACAAAACTGATGGCTCTATTGATTGCTACAAAGTTCGTTTGGTGGCCAAGGGATTTCATCAAGCACCATGTATTGATTTTCATGACACGTTCTCTCCAGTCATTAAACCTGCCACTATTCGATTGTTACTCTCTTCGGTTGTTTCTTCTGGCTAGACTATTAAACAAATTGATAGTAAAAATGCCTTTCTTCATGGACATCTTGAAGAGGAAGTGTATATGGTCCAACCTCCGGGGTTTAAAAATTTCTGGTATCCAAATCATGTCTGCAAGTTGAATCGATCTATTTATGGTCTTAAACAAGCTCCTAGGGCCTGGTTTTCGAAGCTTAGCTCCTCTTTGACTTCCCTTGGCTTTGTCTCTTCCAAAGCCGATACATCTCATTTTTCTAAGATCTCTGTTTATTCTATTCTTCTTGTTTTAATTTATGCAGATGACATTTTGATTTTGGGCTCTAGCAGCACAGAGGTTAACAATCTTATTTTGGCTCTTGGCACATATTTTCCTGTTAAGGACCTTGGCTGGCTGAGTTATTTCCTTGGTGTTGAAGCAACATTTACTACTAATGGACTTTTTCTTTCACAACTGAAATACATTGTTGATTTGTTAAAAAGGTGCAATATGATAAACTGTAAGCCAGCTGAAACTCCTATGAGTGCCAAAGAAAAAGTATCTGTTATTGTTGGTCAGTCCTTTGAAGATGGTTATCTGTATCGTTCTGTTGTTGGTAGCTTGCAATATTTATCCTTTACTAGACCAGATATTTCCTTTGCTGTGAACAAAGTATGTCAGTTTCTTCATAATACCCTAGACACTCACTGGATTGCAGTCAAGCGTATTCTGCACTATCTCAAAAATACAATTGATTATGGCATAGTCATTAGAAAAAGTCTCACTTCATCCCTGGTTGCTTTCTCTGATGATTTAACTGCTTACTCCGATACTGATTGGGGTGGATGTATTGATGATAGAAGATCCACTGGTGGTCATTGTGTCTTTTTTGGACCAAATCTTATATCGTGGAGCTCAAGGAAATAGCCAATTGTTGCTTGATCTTCTACAGAGGCTGAGTATAAATCTCTTGCTATCACCACTTGTGATCTTATTTGGCTTTAGTCTCTTCTTGGTGAATTAGGCATTTCTCTATCCAAACCACCTATTTTGTGCTGTGATAATATTGGTGCAACCTATTTGGCTGCTAATCCCATTTTACATTCAAGAACCAAGCATGTCAACCTGGATTATCACTTTGTTTGGGAATGTGTGGCCTCCAAATTACTGACAATTACAGTTTTATCTTCCAAGTATTAGTTGGCGGATTTGTTCACCAAACCTCTTGATGGGCCCAGATTCAAGTTCTTGCGTTCAAGCCTCACTGTTGTTCCTGCACAGTTCAGCTTGAGGGGGGCTGTTGAAGCACAAACTCAACCCAAATACAATAAGCCCAATAACACAGCCTCAAAACCCAATCATTCATAATTCTTCCAGATTCATCTATTCTAGGTCTACGTGTCCTGTTATCTTTTTAACTTTTTCACTGCTTGTATCACAGAACACTTGTATAAATATGTAGCACTGTAGCGTCTTTATTCATAAAGATGAATTCAAGGTTTCCTTTAATGCTCTTTCTGCATTTATTTTCGATGATGATTTCCCTGCCTTTTACCGTTGATAAAGCCCAATTTTTATATATTTTATCCCACATTAATTTAGGATTTAAATGATAATTTTGAGCTTAAATGAACTTTTTATGCATTATTGAATTAATTGGTTGATTTTTGGATTTTGCATAAAAATTGAGATTTTGGATTAAAAATATAAATATTTTGTGATTTCCTATTTTTGACTTGGAATTAATTTTTTCTATTTCTTTGGAAACAAGTCTCATATTTTTAGAAAAATTACTTTTAGAAAGTTTTGCAATTTCTTGCCTGATTTTTATGCAGATTTAATATTTTGTTTTTGATTATATTTGGATATAATCTACATTAATGGATGCACTTAAATTCTTGTAGGTCAAGAAAGGGACACATAGGAAATCCAATGATGCAAGATTGTTTCTTGGAATCTAAGCACAATCTAATGGCTAATATCAAGTGGGTCAATTAATTACTAACGGGCTTGAGTTTTGGATCCACAAAAATTTTCTTTTCCCTCGTTATACTATTTTCCTTATTTTGGAGGAGGGATTCACGCCTAGATCACACTTTTTCCATTCTCCATTGATTCACGTACGAACACCAATTTTTAACGTCAATTCCTTCTTTCACCGTGATCCGTCCAGCCTGATGCCTTGCACCTCATAATTCCTTCATCCCATAGTCACCAAAGGGGAACAATACGTTCTTTGATTCCCAATCATCCTCTTCTTTCTTAATCCACATCATCATCCACTCACGTTTTGTTCTTCCTGGACCAAATTCTCATCTACACCTCATCATTATGGCTATGGCATCTAACAATTTTGGAGGAGGAGGCATTTTGATGGAAGCTTAAGCTTGTTAGGGAGGCAACTTGGGAGGAGCATGGAGGAGATTTGAGCCTTGGGCTAGCACTTGAAGACCACAAGAGAGTGATGTTCCATTTATCTTTTTAATTCAAGGATTTGAGATTATTTAGTTTTAAATAATTTTAAGTTATATTTTTGTTGAGACAATTTAGTTCTAGATTGTCATCTTTATGCTTGGATTGGATTTTATTTGTGTCGAGACACTTGTTGGAATTTATGTTTAGAACCTTTGTATTGTTAATTGAATTTATAATTGAGTTTTCATTATGGGTTTAATTATCAATGTGGTTTGAATTGTAAAATTTGGGTTCTTTTGCCTCTTAATTGTTTAATTAAGTTGGTTAATTGTCTAATTGTTTAATTAGATAATTTCAAACATAACTTCCAGAATTAATTGAGTCATTTTCAATTGGTTTTAATAAGCTTAATTAACCAACCTTATACTGTTATGAGTTCTCTAATAGTTTAAGGGTTTTTGAAATTGAGGGTTCCCTTTGTTTCAAGTAGGTAATTAAGTTTATTAATTCCACTCTCTTATCACTTCCCTTTGATCTAATTAACTGATTAAGGTTGTGAAGGTTAAATCCATGCAAATCCTAAGTTGTCCTCTCTACTGTACCTGAAGAGAAATTTCTGAATTTTTACTTGCTAATTCTCTTTGCTTTCTGATCCATTTTCTTTATTCATTATTTTTATTTTCCTTCAAAAAAAACCCCCCAAAAATTGCATTGCATTTATTTAGTTTAATTTAATTTTCATATAGATTTTAGGACATTTGCATCTTTCATTTAGAATTAGAATTTTGCATTTTAGTTTAGGTCCACTTTATAGTATTTTTTTTATCACCTAAATTTTTACCTAAAGAAACTCATAACTTGCTCCTTGGAAGTAATGACCTAGGTCGATCCTAAACTACAAATTAATTAGGACCTAATTTAATTAAGTGCTTCAATGACAGAGGCATCATCAACCGTCATTAGTTTTCCCCTCTGTTATATATATCGTATACTACAAATGCAAAATTACTTTTAAATTTTTCCAAGTTTTATTTAAAATTATTTATTTTTGTTATGCATAAAAAATTGTTATTTTATACAATATAATAATTAAAAGGCATAGAAGCATATGCCAACATACACAAATACTGGGAAATTTACAATAAAATGTCCAATTTGAGGAAGATCAAATTGTAAAAAAATAATTTGATTACAAAATTGTTAATGCAGATTGATAAGTTGTCGGTTGAGATAGTAAACAATCTCATCTCATAAGGAGGAGAGCATAAATTTAAATTTCAAAAAATATACTTATTAGGAGAACTTTAACTATAATGCTCTCAACTCAACAAAGGTTATTCTCAAGTCCAAAGTGACTTGAAGATACTCTGAGTTATATATTAAAAAAAAATTTGTTAATGTAGAACTTCAAACAAGAGGGAGGCCAGGTGGGAGGTGATAAAATATAAAAAAAAATAAAATATTCACCACAAAAGAAGTAAATGCAATAGAGATAGTAAATTAGATATCAGATATCACCACAGGAGGTTGGAATAAAAAGGGAGAAACAACACGCAGAGAATATACACCCGTTCTCGTATTTAAATGTGACTTCTCTATTTTTCTCTCTTCCTCACGGCTATATTTAATAGGAGTAAAGTTGAAAAGGAAAAAAATTAAAATTTCAATTTGTGACAAGTTTAATGAGTTAACCACTGTTTCTTACTTTTGATTAATTAATTAATGTGACTTATATCATGAGAGTACATTTTCCATTCACGTGATAATCATCTATGCTTTCACCAATGAAATCACAAATATAATAAATGTATGCATGGGCAAGTCCGGTTTAGAACCCATCCTCTTCCCTTCTCTTCCTTTTTTAACCTTTAGATTAATATTTTAACGATTCGTATTTAAATCTTTGTAAAACTATTATTAAAATATTAAATTATAAAAATAAATAAATAATAAATTACAAACTATATTAAAATTTAATTCTAATGGTTCGTAAGCGCGTTAAATGTTTTTAAAATTTTTTTATAAATGGTTTTTTTAAAAAATTAAAATATAAACTGTTAAAATATGTTAACCTAACAGTTAAAAAACAAGAAAAGGAGGGAAGAGGAAAGGTTCCGAACGGGGCCAATCCCCTTTTATTGTTTGAAACTAAGAAAGACGTGTGTGTGGATGCAAAACAGTTTCTTACCTTCTAAATCCACATGATAAATCAACTTGTCTTATCTTCAAAATTCACAGGGGGCCTTTTAATTAATAATTAACATGGACAAACTATCTAGTGGGTCTTCACTTCCTCTAATATCCACTGTAGTTTTAAATTTTAATCATTTATTTAGGTTAATTTAATACTTTTGCTATTTTTCTGCAAAATTTTAAGCAAAAATTAATTATTTAATCCCTATAGTTTTGACTAAATGAAAATTTAGTCCCTAAATTGAGACTTGGTATAATTCAATTTCTGTACCTCTAACCATTTAAAACCCTAGTTCTTATATTCCTCTGGTCCTATTTATAGGGCAGAGAGAGAAGGTTTTTCTTGTCCTGTTTACAAGTCACTTTATTAAATTTTTACCATGAATGTATTATATTGTCGTTCATTTATTATAGTGTAGATAATTATTTTTTTTGAAAGTTGTATGTATTAGATAAGGGTAAAGTTGAAAAGTTGTTATATTTTTATGAAGAGTTAATATAGTTTAAAGTTTTTCTTAGTCTATGTGAAACATGTTGGAAGTACCTTATAAATAGAACCAGAGGAGTATTTCATAAAATAAAATTATAAGGAGCAAAGTTATTTCTCGTCACATGTTAGGTATTTCCAGTCGCAAGCTAAGGAAGTTTATTGAACGGACCGCAGTTCAATGGAGCCTTTGGAGGTTAGCAAAGACAACAAATTATTACATTCTTACGAATGAAACAAAACAAAAGTAAATTAATCATCATTTCCTCCCTTTTAAAATTATGAAACTAATTTATGCTTTTAATATAATAAATTAGTCAAAGACTTTTAAAGTTACATTTTTATATTCAATTATCCTTATTACTTTCGAAAAACCTTGTTAATTATATAGTGGAAAAAATATTTCACATTTTCAAAAATTTTACTTAAAAAAATGCCTTATAATTTTAACTTAGAAAAGATACAATAAAAATCTTTCGTAGTAGTTTATGTCTAGGACTAATAAATCCTTTTACAACGTGATTATTTTTTTCCAGCAATTATTTTGAATGATATTAAAATTAGAAGAAATACTGTCACTATTCTTTATTTTAAAGACTCTTTCTTAAAGTTTTCCATGTTGCTTAGTACAAAGTCATTTATAAACACTAACAAAGCATTTGTGAGTTTTTCTTTTTCTTTTATCCATAGAGTGAGAGATTTCGGCTTCTATACTGGAATTTTGAGATACAAATTAATTACGTTAACTAGGGACAGTCTTGGAAGGTCTTAATAATTTCTGAAAAAATATTAGTACTCTTAAGTAACTTTAACTATATTAATATTCTTAAGC